TTCTTTCTCCCCTTCCTTGTCTTTTTTTCAGCTGTCTGGGAATAGTACCTCACTGCAGCACAGGCAAACCTAGAATTCACTGCGTAGTCTAAACTAAGTGATCCTCCTGCCTCAGCCTCCTAACTGTTGAGATTACAGGTGTGCGGCACCACACACAGCCTCCTCTCATTTTTAATATAAACCTAAACTGACCTAAAATTTAGGTCTATTTAAATTTTGTAAAAAAGTTGACAAGAGGGAGTTTTTAAAAGGTTAGTTGTACAGTAGAATCTGAAACAGTTCTGCTGTGAGCACAAGTGTGTGCATGCGCATGTTTGTATGTGTGTGTTTTAAAATTACACTTACTTATTAATGTCATGCATACATGTGGCAGTCAGAGGTCAACTCAATGGAATTGGTTCTCTCTGCTATGTGGATGTATGAAATCCAGTCAGGACATGGCTAGTGACAACCTGTTGAGCCATCATGTCCACCCCTGTCCCCAGCTTTTTGAGGAAGAGTCAAGCTGGCCTCCCAATCCTCCTTATTCAGCCTCCCAAATGCTGGGATTGCAGGCATGTTACATCTGTCCAGCTTATACTTTTTGCATTATTATTTTCTATTAGACTTTCTGCATTTTTCTTCTGTCATGTATAATTTTATAACAGCATGCATTGGATATTGGTAAATATTGTTCCAATAAACTAGAGCTTCCAAATGTTGAAATGTTGAATTATATAAGCACCAAAACAGTTAGCTAGACATGGGAGCAAGCACCTGTGATTTCAGACCTAGGAAGGCTGAACAGGAGGACAAGGAGTTCAAGGCCAGCCAAGTCACAGAGAGACACCGTTCCAACCCTGCTTTCCCTACCCTACCCATCTTCAAACTCCTGTAATTCTGCATTTGTTGAGATCACCATCAGTCTCACAGAAAAAAAAAATGTTCAAGAACCAGGAAGCTGTTGGTATCACGATGGCACAGACAAGTGCCAAAATTATAACTTTCACTCATTTGCTCAAACTGCATCACTGCTAACAAATATTGCTCATTGTTTTACTTGAAATGACAGTCTTCTCTCATTTCCAAGAAATGTCTGTCAAACACCGTGAGGAAATGTCTTCCAAGCTGAAAAACCTCAGTCTGTCACTCAGTCTTTTCTGTAAGAACTGGTAATCTCTAGGGGTGCTGGGGGTGGGGATCTTTTCCTCAAGGCAGCCATGATATTTAGTATATGGGAGTGTCTCATAAAGCCTAACTCTCATTTCCTCACAAAAACATTGAGAGTACATGTTCTCAAAGTTGAAACTTAATGAAATTAACCACTTTTACTGTCCTGTGGAGGGAGCTGTCTAGGCTTGATTTGGCTGCTGTCTCTCTCTCTCTCTCTCTCTCTCTCTCTCTCTCTCTCTCTCTCGGTGAGCAACCAGCCATGGGGGACACAGCATGGTTTGGTGCCACTGTCTGGATTCAGTGGGTTTTGCCTATCAGTTCTGTAGCACCATTCCTGAAGACCTCACTCCAGTGAGAAGAGCAGAGAGAGAAAGTGTATGTGGGTTTCAAGACTCCTGGGGGCTCACAGGGACCCCTACAGGCCCATGACAATCATGACATAAATAACAGCTAGACATGCCACACCTCTGATGCAGAAAGAGTACCCCATCGGCCTTCACTTTTCTTTGAGGCAGCTCTGATAGGAAGGGAATGGCAGGGAACAAAGTCCATCAAACACCCCGCCCTCCCTCCTCTACCATCCTCTAAGAAGGCATTTCCACCATTTTTAATATCAAAACAGGGACAGAAAGCAGCAATATTTATATGAAGGACCTCTCAGGACTGGAGGAATCTGCTTCCCCACTGGCTTTATGTTCTACCAAAGCCTCAAAGATTTCCTCAGACATGGAAATGTGCAAAGACTCTGAGTGAACTTCACAGCAGAATTGGAATTCTACTAATAAACTGAGACAGAGCCTGCCCAAACATTCCCAGTCGTAATGTAGAGCTAACAAATATAGCATGTAGCTCCCAAACCAGCAAGAAGTTCAAGTCCTGCCTTTGCCATTTACTATCTGTATGACCTGAGGGAAGTTAATTAACATTGCAATGCCTGCATTTCTCCACCTATAACGTGGGACAACCATAGTACCGTCGTTCATTGTATTATACACACTAATGTATAAAGAATGGCTAGAATGACACTTTAGTGTGATTATTAGCTTTTGGGGGGGGCATTTCTAGACAGGGTTTCTCTGTGTAGCCTATCCTGGCACTCCCTCTGTAGACCAGGCTGGCCTCGAACTCACAGAGATCCGCCTGCCTCTGCCTCCCAAGTGCTGGGACTAAAGGCATGCGTCACCACAGCCTGGCTATTGTTAGCTATTATATTTATATGGGTGCCAAGGGCTCGCCTAGTTTGGACTGGTCTTCTGAGCATGACAGTGCTGAATCAGACTGGTAAAGAGAGAGAATACTGAAGATGTCAACAAACCAGATGTTGATCTGCTAGGTTACAGATGTGGGAAGAGAGGAATGCAGAGGTGGAACGCCCTGGACCTGTCTGGTTTACTTATGAAATATGTCAAGTTAAAATCTCCTTTTACCTTTTTAACTAACACACTAATAGATGCGCTGCTACCCACTTAAAAGTCTATAAAAATGTTACCCCTGCCCCTGTGGGTCAAAACTCATCATTACAGACTGTCAACCCATTGCAACAAGCTTGCAGGGTGGCTTTTTCACAGTGATGTCAGTAGCAGCAGCTGAGTGGGTCTCAGGCCTTCCAGAAACTAGCATATGCAATCCAAAGCTGGGACCAACCACCCAGCTGCTTACTCAAATACCTGGGTTGGATGTGTTGTTTTTATCTTTACTGAACATCTTTTGGCAGCTATGAAGTCTGGCTCATAAAATCATTATAACTAATTAAGAGTTTTAGGCTAAATCTGAAGTTGAATGATTTCAAGGATCCTCTTCATGCAACTATTCAGTCTCTGAATTGCCACAATTATAAGGCTGCAAAGAAATGCAAAATCACCATAATAAGAAAATAGTAGCAAGGAACTGACCACTTAAAAATTTTGCCCTTCGTCAGACGTCCTTCATAGAGAGCTTAACAATGAGGAACTAACCACATCCTTCATGCCAATGTCTTGTCAGTCATTCAGAGCTTGTCCAGTGCAGGAAAGATTCCGGTTACCATAGAATAAAGGGCAAACTTGCCCATGCATGTAACTGGCAAATGAAGGGTCTATCTAACCAGAGGAAGGAAAAACTTGATAGAGATAATGACACCACAGAAACGCCAGACAAAAACAACTGGAATGTTCACGCATTAAGATGACACCCAGGAATACATGAGATCTTGGGATGTTTTATAGAAAACGTTTTCCATGCAACTGAACAACCAAATCACGAAGTGAAGGATATAATGGTTTATTGTTCTAGAATTCTGATAAGACAGTTATGCCAAAAATAAATGGAAATCCTGTTATTGTTGATTCTGAGGATTTAATACATAGCTGTTACTCAATCCAAACTTTTGTCAAATAAAAATGAGTAATATTGGTCTTACTTTCATTTTTCAATATTAAGTCCTCACCAACCTTCCTCCCATCACCCCACAGTGTGGTAAAAAGATTATCAGGGACTTGGGATTCTAAGTGGCCTCTTTCTGATACCAAGTGTCCTGAAATAATGAAGCTAGTAAAGAAATACAGACACTCATAATCTGTTCCAAGAGAGTGCCCTGACCTCCTGGAGGCCTCCATAGCCTGCCTGTTCCCTCTCCTCACTGGGCGTCCTACTGCAAAGAGAGGAGCATCTTAGTCCTTCACAAGAGTCAAACTTTTGAGCACAGATAGATTCTCTCCCTGCCAGACAGGTGACTTCAAGCTTAGCACCATGTGCTGCTGGTAGAAGCAGGAAGCCTCATGCCAGCCACAGTAGGAATCAGAGGTTGGGTCTCCATTAAAGGCTCTTAATTAATCCTAATTGTATTCCTTCTAAAGCCCTAAACAACTGCAGGCTGGATTCATCTCTGCTTTAAAGGTGACAAATTCCTGCCTGCCAGGAGTAAGTCAGCCAGTTTTGAGAAACATGCTCATTTACTACTCTGCAGGCACAGGTGACCACGGCCTTCCCTTTGCCTCCAAACAGCTCTTCTGTAGACAACTAAAGTAAAATCAGAGACCAAGGGATGATGCTCAACTGAGGAACTGTGTGTAAAGTCACTTGGTATTCTACTGAGCACTGAGAAGTCCTGAATTTGAAAAGACACAATTCCTATCTATAATGGATCTGCAAAGACTCTCTAAGATGTGTGTGTGTGGGGGGGGTGTGCATATACTTCATCTGTAGGGTAAATTATTTACGATGTAACACCAATGCTTTATAAGTTGACTTCCCTTCATCTGGCCCAAACAGCTCAGATATGGCACAGCAGCCAGGCAATGAATTTGGGAAATGACAATTCTTAACGCCACACTTCCTTAGATGACAGTAATACTACTTCTCTTTTCCCCACACACTAGTCTCACCTCATTTTTTTTCTCTTTGTAAAAATATTTTATTCTATTTATCCATGCACAGGCCAGAAGGCAACTTATGGGAGTTGTTCTTTTATTCCACTATATGGAACTGGGGAATTGAACTCAGGAGGTAAGGCTTGGCTGCAAGTACCTACTGTGCCATCTCGCCAGCCCTTACCTCAATTTTTCTTACTTCCCTCACATGTGACTTTTACAAAAGAGCCTTGACACTAATTTTGCTTCTGCTTCCAGCAACAGTTGATAGTTGCCCCTGCATCTCTAATTCTTTTCTTGAAAGCCCTTGAAAGAGCAGATTTTGTGCCAGTACCTATAAAAATTGTTTGGCAAATAGATGAACATTTCCTATATTGAGACTTTTACCTCAGTTCTGACTCTGTGAATAGCATTTTCAAATCTGAAACAGGCTGAAGGGAAAACATGAAGTAATTTAACATGTGAAAAGGCCAACCAGTCTGGCCAGGCCTGGCTACTTACTCTTTCACACAGCTCTTCAAATGTGCAGTCGGCAATGGTTCCACAGGCTTTATTCAGCTGAAGCTCTCTGCCTTGCACTTTTAGAATCCTTGGTCTAGTTACTATGGGAACATGAACAAAGACTCAATCTTGTCTGGATAATTACTATAAAATTCATCTCTTACAGATAGGAAATGCATAGCTTGATGAATAATAGCACATGATTCAACACATAAATTAGACAAAATGCTGATACAATGACTGCCACTTGAGCGTGGCATCAACCCATATACAGCAATGGAACTTATTAATTGGTCAGTGGAGATTGGGCATTGTGTTCTAAATGTATTCTCTTTCAAGAGAAATTAACTTACGTACAATCATTTTGTTTCTGGGCCAGCTCATCAAACAACTTATCCATGACAGCCTCCACATCAGCCTCACTTGTGCTACAGTGAAAAGAATAATAGAATATGAAATTAATAACACTTGAAGCCAACATCAAACAGCTGCCTGAGCCTGCTTAGCTTTTTGCCCATAAAAAGAGAGAACAGGGTGATATGCTCTAAATACAAACATTAGATTTAGAACACACTTAAAAGCAGAGAATATTAACTCTCAGGTAGACGATCCTGCCTTATTTGCATACATTGAAAGACTTCTGAGCTTCTAGATGTTTCCAGTAATGAGACGATACAGGCAGAGTAAATCCATTAATACTATGTGTACACAATGAGAAGAAAGCGCCTGACTCTCGCTTGCACGCCAAACAAGAGCAAATAGGCAAGGCAGTCAAGCATCCAGCAAGTACCCTTTGAAATCTCCCCTGAGAGCGTACACGTGAAATTAAACATTGAGGGTGTTTTTTTAGAAAAACCAAGCCAAGCTACTGGCGGATTGAGCACTCAGAATAAAATTTCTAGCTTCCAAATACCAACTTGGTCTGTACATCAGAAACTTTATCAGACTCTGTACCGCTGAAAACACCTGGTATAGACTCCTATCAGGACGAGGACAAGCACAGACCACAGTTTCTCTCAAAAGTGTCCTTGTTCGCAGTCCCCCAAGCCCCCTCCTTCTGTGATGCCGTCTTCTATTGCAGCAGCTATGGAGTGAGTCCATCACACAGCCTTTTGTATTCTAATTAGAAACCACCATATGTTAAGGAGCGCACATATAGAAATGTGATAGTGCTATGGCCTCCTTTCTTCTCACTTTTTTTTCAAAGAAGAGTTGATAATTTATCAGTCAATAGAAGAAAATAACTGGTAGAAGAAAGGCCATTCAAAAAAAAAAAAAACTTCAAGTGAAAATCTAAGTTTCCTCTAATCTTACAAACAAACTTACACAAGATGACCTACCAATATGCTTAATTTTGACACAAATCAATTTTAGCTAATTGTGGAAGCAACTGACATTGCTTTAATAGTGTCTTGTTGAAAATTAGTCATTAAGATTAAGTTGAAACTAAACAAAATTTTTCTTAGCAGGTTGCTGGCATCTGACATATAACCACAGACTTCCTCAACTGTAGCAGTTCCAACAACTTACAAATGCAGCATTGCAGTCATCATGAAGGGCCAGTAGCCACCCACCTCTGTGGGTCTCAAAAATAGCATTTGTCATGGGTTGATTCCAGAAGGAATGCTACTTGACTTTCATAACATCTTATAAGAACTTTCAATTCAGCCACATTAAAATTACTAAATGACACTAGATAAAGAGTGATTCAAAGAGACAAGCACCCAAATTTATTTATTTTTATTACTCTTGCATGTGGAGGCCAGCGAGAAACTCGTGGGAGTTGCTTTTCTTCTTCTATCATGTGGGTCCTCTGGTTCAACTTGGGTCATTAGGCTTGCCAGCAAACACTTTTATCAGCCCCACAAAGAAAATTCAAAATTATCATGAAACCACAAAGTCAAGGTCAATGTCACATCAGCCACATGGATGTTGAGAGGTCATTCTTGGAACTCATTTAGAACAATTTCTACCATGCAGTGGTGTATGCACACACACAGGTCTTTTTGTTTGTTTTAGAAGTAGTGTATGTGTGCATTCATGTGTGTGTTTGGTTGTGTGTGCATGCATGCATGTTCATATGTATGTACGGGTGTACAGTGCATTGTGTGCAGAAGTCAGAGACTGACACAGTCTGAAATTGCTCCCTAGTTGGCCAGGCTGACCAACCATGAACTCTAGGGCTGCCTGTCCCTGAGCTTGGTCCTTCCCCCACCATTGGGACTGCATAAGTACAACTCTGTGCCTGGCTTTTATGGGGGTGCTGGGAATCTCAGCACCTCATGCCTATATGGCAAGCACTTTACCAGCTGAGCCACCTCTCCAGCCCTGACATTATAAAAAAGTCACACTACATAGCCCAGGCTGACCTTGAACTTGTGCTCCTCCCGCCTCAGCCTCCAGAGTGCTTGGTTAATGATCTACTTAAAAATTTATTTTATTTTACTTCTTACTACCAATGTATGTTGGGGAGCATGCATATGCCACAGTGTGCATGTAAGATCAAAGGCCAGCTTTGGGGAGTCAGTTTGCCATGGGTTCTGGGAACTGAACTCAGGTCAACAGGCTTTCTCAGCAAACACCTTTGCCCACTGAGCCATCTCACTGGTCCTAAAGACATACTTGTCAAGGCAGATAGAATGGAGCAAGCAGAATAGGGACACAATTCATCAGGACAGTACCTGCCTAGCATGGCAAGACCCTGGGTTCAATCCCTAGCCACACACACACACACACACACACACACACACACACACAAATGCACACACCTACATACATGCGCTCACACATTCACACGCACACTCCTATATACACACACACAAATGCACATACCTACACACACATTCACACATGCACACATACATACGCCAACAGCTCCTTCATAACAAAGTTAGTATTTCATGTTTTTCATGTTGCATTTTATTTTGGTTTTTGGAGACAGGGTCCTGCCATGTAGCCTAGGCCATCCTATAACTTGCAATCCTCCTGCCTCCATCTCCTGAGTGATTAAAATTATAGAACTGCACCACTACACCCAGCACAAAATGATTTTTATTTCAATATTGTCTTGTAAGAATTTTATTACACTACCATAAACAGATACTCTGAAGTTCCAAAATACAAAAAGGTATCAGTGTTAAGTAGTCCAGAGCTAAAGACATTTCACAAGTGCAGTCTGTGTGACACGTGACTACTACCCATCTCCTAGCATGCACTAGGCCTCGGGATAAGCTTTACTGGTGCAGAGGGCAGGAACGGCATCTTCACACTCCCTTCAAGCAGGCAGAGGTGGGTGGCTACTGCATGCTCTGGTGCTTTTGATGTCACTGGACTGATATACAAGAAAGAAGGATAGCAGGAAATGAATTCCTACCATATATTCTCAAGTTCCTTAACAACTGCCAGAAAACCTTTATCTTCCCGCACTCTATTCAGTCCCCAGACTGTTTGAAGAGATGCAGCTACTGGGGTTCTGTGAGTAGCTTTACATTTGTATGTACATTACTGTGAATGTACATAGGATGTGTATATGCAGCATGTGGAGACCAGAGAATAACTCTGTGGGTGTGTTCTCCCCTTCTGCCTTTATATGGATTTGGAGGGGGCAGGTCAAAGCTAGGCCATCAGGCTTACACAGCAAGTGCTTTACACACTGAGCCATCTTGCCAGGCTGCATTAACTTTGTTTTTTTTTTTTTTTTTAGATTTGCATTAGAAATATAAAGAGAAAAAACTTTAATTACCAAATACATATATATATTGTCTTGCACTTGTAACAAAAACCTTAGGCAATTCTAACCCTTGCAGTGTGCCAAGGGGAACAGTAAAAGCTTTCCTTTGTTGGATTACCACGCAGCAGTGAGTTCCTCACACTGCGCTCACCTCACCATCCAGGTCACATCATTGTCATACGTTCACAGAAGGGAAGGGAAGACAGAGATTCACAACTATGCCACCTATCTAGTCTGAATACACAAAGACATAAACTGTCTGTACAATAGAATATATATATATGGTCAAACTGGGAGTGCTCTAGCAATATTTATGTCGTACCACCTAAAAACATGTTACCACATAAAAACTCCAACAAAGCCACTCTCAAAAGACACTTAAGAAGCTGCATGAAAAGATGGCCCAAGCAGGGCGTTGGTGGTGCACGCCTTTAGTCCCAGCACTTGGGAGGCAGAGGCAGGTGGATCTCTGTGAGTTTGAGGCCAGCCTGGTCTACAAGAGCAAGTTCCAGGGCAACCTCCAAAGCCACAGAGAAACCCTGTCTTGAAAATTGTCATGTTAGGATGTGGGTCTGGTTGGAAGATGGATCATGAGGTAAGGCAGGCAGTCACGTGTCCAGGCTCCCAGCACCATGGTGCTCTACTCTACCATGTGCCTTGAAACAACAGACTGAAGAACAGTGAACAGAAAGAAGCCTTCAAAACCATGGGACCAAATAAATCATTCCTCCTTTAAATCTTTTCTCTTGGGTATTTAGTCACAGCAATGTGAAGCCCGAACGGCTCGGAGACTCTGTGCTGATGATAACATTAAGAGGTGGCCTGGTTAATGAATCCATTCTTGAAGCCAGAGTTGTTGGGACGGAATCACTTCCTAAATATCCGTGTTAGGAGCCTGGTGCTGGTTTGTTGTTAATCTCTGCAGATCATGAAACAGAGCGAGAGTTCAAGGCAGAACCTGGTTAGGTTATAATCCTCCCCCCTACCCACAGCCACCACTTCTCAGGCTAGGCTCCACTTTCTACAACTTCTACAGCCCCAAAAGCCAATGAGATGAAACACATGAGCCTGTGGGGACCTTTTACATACAATCCATAGCCACAAGTCTACTCCATTCATAGGAAATTACCTATGAAATGATAATGGCTAACTTCTGGAACAAAAATGAAAAGAACCTAAATAGATATTCAGTGATGAGGAATATGATCAAGTACACTTAGATCCATTTATCAAATGGACTACCAAGCATTTTGGGATTCTGTTGGTGGTGGTTTGTTTGTTTACATATCTCACAAAGTTGACAGAATTGCTAACTTCCTGTAATTTCTGAAGATGTCAATGAGCCTTGTGTTAGTTTGAATGTAATTGGCCCTCATAAGGTCATAGGGAGTGGCACTATGAGGAGGTGTAGCCTTGTTGGGATAGGTGTGGTCTTGTTGGAGGAAGTGTGTCACTGAGGAGGTGGGCTTTGAGGTCTCCTATGCTCAAAATACTCCTAATTCAGACCACTTCCTGTTGCCTGTGGGTCAAGATGTAGAACTTTCAGCCCCTTCTCCAGCACCATGTCTGCCTGCATGCCACCATGTCACACCATGATGATAACGAACTAAACCTTTGAAACTGAAAACCAGCCCCAATTAAATGATTGTCTTTGTAAGAGTTGATGTGGTCATGGTGTCTTTTCACAGCAACAGAAAC